ATCAGCCTTTGTGGCTCAGGCAGGAGGTAGGCTACAGAGCCACGATCGCCCCATGCTACACCAGGGACCTAGGATCCAGGGAAGCAAATCGCTCACCTAAGGTCTCATGAGACCATGAGGAGAAGCTAGGATTCAAATCCGAATTCAGAGGGACTGCTGATGTCTCTGGGGTCTCGGCTTACATCCCTTTGACCCCCATGTCTTGGAGAGTGGTGCAGGGGTTCCCTCTGGGACTACGTTCCAGTGGTTAGGGACACACACAATCCCAGGTCACCTCCATTTGAAGCACAGCATTAAACATGGGATGTGTTTGTCAGCCTTTCTGCCGCTGTGATAAACACCTGTGAGAGCAATTTGGAAGGAGGAGGGGGTTGTTTTGGTGGATGGGTTCAGAGACTTTGGTCCAGGGGTCACTTGGCTCCAGTGTTTCTGGGCCTGTGGTGAGGCCAGCAGAGTGTGGTGGGGAAGCACATGGTCCCCTCACAGTGGACAGGAAGCAGAAGGAGACCCATAGAAAGAGGCAGACCACCCTTCAAATGCCTGCCCCAGGTGGGGGAGATGCTCTGTAGGTAAGAAGACTTGCTGCATAAGAGCATCACTAGGGCTTGCTGGCTGGCCTCCATAGCTACAGGATCTCTAAGTCCAAGTTCAGAGAAACTGTCTATCAATAAATACATAACATGAAGACCCATAGAAGAGGGCATCCACTGTCCACCTCTGGCCTCTCCATGTGCATTCACAGGCATACACAAGTGGGGACACACACACACACACACACACACATACACACACACACACACACACACATACACACACACACACACACACACACACACACGCGTGCGGCATGCCCAACAGCCTTTTCCAGTTCCAGGTCCATCAATTATAAGTTAGATCCCTTATCCAGCTATCTCCCTGAAGCCCCATAACTGGCTACTCATGTCCAGAACCAAGCATGCCACCCATTAGACATTTGGGGCACATACCATATTTACACCATGACCACCAGTAACTTTACAGTTGAGTCTTTGCCCAGGCTGGACCTTCTCTCTGCTTTGTCCTCTGGGGAAAACCTCACCACTCTGTCAAGTGCGTTCATTTGTCCCTCGGGCACAGCCTCTCTCCACTGCCTTCCTGTACATTCCTGTCAGCCCAGCTTATGGCCCCTTTGAGCAAGGAAAATAAACCCTGGGTTCTCAGCTGCCCATGGCTGAGGCTGCATGGCCTTTGTCTTGGTCACCATTACATTCACAGAAGGAAAAGTCCCCTAGCTTATGCAAGAGGGGAGCAGGTCTTTCATTTGCCAGTAAGTATCTGGGCATGCCTGTGAGAAAGGTCGTAGACTGTGCTGAGGTGGAAATGTGGGTAGAACTATTCCATGGGCTGGGGTCCTGAATACAAAGGTGAGCCCCAGCATTCAGCTCTCTGTTTCCTGACAGTACACACAATGCGACCTGGTGTCCAAGACCCTGCTGTCATGCCATCCCACCACGACCCGCCGCACCCTAGAACTGTAAGCCAGAAGGTGTTCTGTCACAGCAAGGAGCAAAACAACCAAAACATCCCCCTGTGGTGTCAGGGCATGTGTGGGATCGGTGCACAGAGTGGCTCACGGGGACAGTCAACGTTGTCATCCTCAGTTCAGAAGCCTCCACTCTGGGATGAGCAGAACTCATTGCAAAAGTAATGTACATTCAAATCGTAGGATACTGCTAAAGGTGAAGTCTGATTGTCCCCTAGGAGGCCTGAAGCCCAGCAGTTCGCTGTGGGGAGGGCATTGATGAGGGCCACAACCTTCAAATTACAGCCCGTGTTTGTATGTATGTATGTATGTATATATGTATGTATGTGTATATATGTATACACATACATACACACACTATATATATATATATATATATATATATATATATATATATTCCAGCAGATTGCTAAAAAAAAAAAAAAAAACAAAAAGTTACAGGTGAGATGCTTCCTGGGGAAGAGAATCTATATTTAGATGCAGCTCTGCTTTCTTCGGTCCAGTCTCTGATTTCCTAAATTACTCATAATTTTAATTGTGTTTCAATCGCCTGCTGGTTGACAGGCATTTATTTCTACAATACACTGGACTGGCCACCTCTTGCTCTGGGCTTTTTGAAATCCGTTTGTTCTGTTGGGCACTGGAGGGCACAGCTGATGAGCACATATGCCAAGTTCCTTTGGTGCGGCTCCACGCCACTTCACAGGCTGTCCAGCAGCCACGGAAGACACTTGACACCTGTGCTGTTACCGACTGGGACCGGCAGCAGCTCGGAGCCATAGCAACTTTATTCAGGGGGGATGATGAGCCCCGCCCGGAGCACTGGCTGCCTCTGTGGAAAAGACGTGTACCTCATTATTGGCAGGCCAGCTGCCACATCTACAAATAAAACACTAATTTTCTAGTAGAATTTGGCACAGTAGGAATGGAGGCAGTATATAAAGGCAGGGGAAATGATGGGTGTGGGGAGAGAGAGGAGTTCCTCACCCCGGAGCCCGGTTAAAGCCTTTCACTAGTGAGAATCAATTCAGACACATTTGCCTAAGGCCATTCTCCCCTCTCAGATGTAACCTGCAGGTTCCCAGAAATCTCACCAGAAACCCCATTGGCAGTAAAAAAATAACAAGCCCTAGCCCCCCCCCCCACAGCCTTTGCGGCTCATTTTCACTCTATCAGATTATATATGACCCGACCCAAGGCATCTCTAGAGTCCCCTTATGGTCTCAATTAAAAAGAGGGGGACAGAGGCAGGGAAGGGGAGGGCCCTTAGAAACCCACAAAGCAATGAAATTCCAGAAGCTTCCAAAATGGAGTCACAGTGAAGACCCTGAAGTGGGCCTTCTCTGGGAAGCTGTGCTCACTCAGGCACATCTGACTCTTTACCAGGTGCCCCTCTTTCTACTTTCAATGGATTCCAACTCTGCTTCACACTGGCTCATCCTGAAATTCCTTTCTGCATTGAAAACAACGATCTGGCTTTATGGGCGTCAAGGTCCCTAAGCGATTAAGGGACCTCCCTGGGCTGCTGCAGGGGACCGTGTGGAGCTGTTGACAGCAAGACCAATCCTGGTGTGTTTGTGGAGGGGGAGAGACACAACACTCGGGACTTTGAATTTCTGCTTGGAATGTTACTGGCCTCCCAGCACAGCCATGGATGGAAGTCAGGGTTGAAGCAGGGCCCTTGGGAATAAGGATGTGTGATATCAGAGATGGAGCATCCATGGCACCTGCTTGTTTGAGGAAGTACCTGGATCCAGAGAGGCCTCTGGCATGCCAAGATCGAGGTTCTTTGTTATTTGCCATGGATGACTCCTTGACATATTGGGGCAGATGGGGGCCCAGGAAGACCCCTTCTTGTTCTGTCCCCTACACACCAGTGACACCAGAGAAGGCTGAGTATACAGCAGTGAACTGCCAGTGTCACCAGGAAACATTTGGAAATATCTTTTGTCGCCTTGAAAGGCACCTGTCACTGGGTGGTGACTCTGTCGGTGAAGGGAAGATGTTATACTCTCAGCAGAGACCTTCGCTGCTAAAGGCCTCTCCTCTGTCCCTCCCGTAGGTGACAGTGTCAAATTCCATTAGGTTGAACCTACTTTTGTGCTTCATAGAATCTATGAGAATTAATACTGACTGTCAACTTGACAGGATTTAAAATCATGTAGGAAACAGATCTTAGGCATGTCTATGTAGACATTTCTAGATTAGGATAAGTGAGGTGGGAAGATGGTCCCTAATGGTGAGTAGTATCATGCCATGTGCTGAGGTCCCAGACTGAACAACAAGGAGAACGTGATCTGAGTCCCAGCTCCATCTCTCTCTGCATCCTGACTGTGGGTGCCGTGTGACCAGCCACTTGTTACCATGCCTTCCCCACCGTGATGGGTTGACTCTCAAACTGTAAGCCCAGATAAGCTCTCCTTACCCCCTTAACCTGCTTCGTGCCATATATTTTGTCTCAGCAAAGAGGAAAGTACCTAACGTAAGATACAACCTAACACATAGGTACCAGGAGACAACATAGTGCATGGGGTGATGAGGACTTTGGGGGTTAGGTAGCTCCTCCAGTTGCCTGTCCCTGTCCCTCTGTACCTTCCTAGTGCAGGCCCCAGGCTCCATCCGACACTCCTGGGCCTCTGCTCTGAATTGTCCATGATGCTTGAACCAAGTGCGGGCCACACAGCTCTCACGCCATCCCACCCAGAGGGCTTTGCTCATTCATTGCCCAGGCACCTGCAGGTGTCTATGAGAGGTGAGTCCTGACCCTGGCCTTCCACCTTCAGAGATAAGCCCCTGCCCCCAAGCAGGTCCCCACGCCCCAGGGGTCATGTAAATAGTTCTTTTAGAATGAGTTTCCAGATGACCTGTGATTCACTGGCATTGAGATATTTCCATGTCTTCCCTCTTTTGTGTTGTCCCCCCTCTCCCACCCCATGTTATTTCGTCACATACTGAAATTCTGACCAACACAGAGCCACTGAGGTGCTTGTATCTCTGCATTCATACTGGCACCTGCCATCCCCCTGGGCAACACCATCAACCTCAAGGAAGAGTCCCATGCCACTTGGTCCACCCTCTCCATCCCCAGCTCACAGCAGCCCAACTTGGGCTGACCAGGCCTTCCAGTGGCTGTCTGCACACAGCCCACAGTACCTGCCCTCCCTCAAGGCTGTAGGGCCTCTCCGGAGTCTCCCGCACTGGCTAGAAGCTCCTCTTCTTTTCTCATCCCTGTGCTCTGTGAGCCCTGGAGACCGGGGTCTGGAGCAGCCCAAGCCCTGGAGCAGCCCTCTCCTGCAGGTTCCCGCTGCCATTCCTCAGCTGGGGGCTCTGTGGAACTCAACCAGGCTGTTTCCTCCCTCATAGTCACATACTTGGCACGGGTGTGGCTTGCGTGAAAACTCTGTACAGTTGTCCTGGTTGACTGAACAGGGAAACGAGGGTGTGCTTCAGAAATAAGTGAGGTTCCCTTGGCTCTTACCTGCCACTGGATCAGGACGGAGGACGTGGTGTGTGGCGTGGCTGAGACAGACCCTGGAGGCTCCCCTGGAACTGCAGCAGATGGAAGAAAGCAGAGTTAGAACGGTTCTGTTGGGTGCCAGACTCGCCTCAGTTGGGGTGCCTTTCCTTCCTTCAGGTACCTTCACATTCATCTGCCTAAGGTAACAAGGATGTCTCCCACGCGGCAGTCCTCCTTTAACCCCACTGTGGCATATAGATGAGTCAGAACTCCCGTGGGTCCCCTCAGGCCACCCTCAGCACTCTGGTAGCTCCTGCCCAAGACCCTTCCCGGGCTTCCCAGTCTTTGGGAATGGGAATCAGACAGCATTTTCTAAGACTGTAGGTGACAGTGGTTCCCTGTGAGCAGGCCAGGTGGTCACAGTGAGGTCACCATGTTCTTAGTTTGAAAGATGTGACTGTTGGTAGAGATGAGACCGCTGATGGCCAGCCAGAAGGCAAAACCAGGAAGCTGCTCTGGTCTCTGGAAGGACAAGGCTGGTCTGGGCCCTGTCATGGACAAGCCTCCTTTCGGATCAAAGCAGAAGCCTTGCCATGTATCAGCTGCTGGAGGCCTTTCTGTGCTCTCCAGGTCACATGGTCTTCTCTTATGTACTAAACTGACCTCTCTGTGGACCCTGGCTGTACCTGTGAGGCAATAAGGGCCTTTTCAATAAGGGCTTATGGAGGGGGACAGGACTGGACATGTTCCATCACCCACATGTGTACCAGGCTCTGTCTACTTTATATCCCAGGTTTGTCCCTGACTGATTCTCCTCTGAATCCTCCAGGCCCTCTGTCCTCAGTCATACAGATGGACCCCAGTGTCACCCTCTACACCAGTGGTTCTCAACCTGTGGGTCATGACCCCTTTGTGGGTCAATCAACCCTTTCACAGGGGTCCCCTAAGACCATTGGAAAACACAGATATTTACAATTACAGTAGCAAAAGTACAGTTATGAAATAGCAATGAACATAATTTCATGGTTAGGGTCACCATGACATGAGGAACTGTATTAAAGGGTCACAGCACTAGGAAGGTTGAAAGCCACTGGTCTAAACTTTCTAGTAGTCTGTTGTCAATGTGGACCTCTATCCAGCCCAACAACCCTGTGCAGCTGATAAATATCAGCCTACTAAGAAAATGTAGGGCTGGAGAGATGGCTCAGAGGTTAAGAAGCACTGGCTACTCTTCCAGAGAATCCAGGTTCAATTCCCAGCACCCACATGGTAGCTCTCAACTATCTGAAACTCTAGCACCTTCACACAGACATACATGCAATGCATGCAGAACACAAATGCACATAAAATAAATAAATCTAAAAACAAGCAAACAACAACAAAAACCATCTTGCCCAAGACAGTTGCTGTTCTGAGTGCTGAGCCTACATACAAAGCCTTGAAGCTCTCACAGCTGCCATTAAAAAGAATAAACAAACAAACAAACAAGTAAATAAATAAATAAATGAATGAATAAATAAATGTGTAATCAGGCGCCACCATGCTTGAGATCCTGGGGACTTGGAAGGCACAGGGAGAGGATTACAAGCTCAAAAGTTTAATACTACTTTATCAGAGAAGGATGTCAGGAATGTGTGAAGGTGATAAGTCAAGATTCAGCAATCAGGGCTGGGGTGTGGCTCAGTGGTAGAGCACAGGCCTAGAATCCTCCAGTGAGGGGCTGGGGTGTGGCTCAGTGGTAGAGCACCTGCCTAGAATCCCCAGTGAGGGGCTGGGGCATGGTCAGTAGTAGAGCACCTGCCTAGAATCTTCCAGTGTGGGGTTAGGGGTGTGGCTCAGTGGAGGAGCACCTGCCTAGAATCCTTGAGCAAGGGCTGAGGTGAGCACCTGCAAGGCCTGGGGCTCCATCCCTAGCACAGGAAGTAGGAAGTGTTAATCAGTCATCAAAGGCCCCCTCTCCTCCAGCTAGGCTAGGGTTGGTCTAGCCAGTCAATCTCCACCTCACAGAGGGAGGGAGACAAAGGGCCACAAACACAATGCAAATCCATCCACAAAGGGAAATTGCAAGTCTCAGACAAGGAAGATGATGAGATAGGGGCCTCAAAAGCCGCATTTGAATATCAAAGGGTTGAGAAGGGGCCTGGGGAGCCTGGAGAGTTCCTTGAATAGCTTTTTTGAAATGGCCCATTCCCTGAGGTCGCTGGGAGCCTGTCAGGATCGGCGCTCCCTGTTTGTCAGAGATAACTCAACAAAGACAGCAGCTTGCTGGGTGTCTGGTTCTTTCTTCTAAGAATTAGTATACCATTGCAAATATTCTCTCCATTGTGTCTGATGCAAGATAAAAATGAGGTTTTTTTTTTTCCATTTTTATTTGATGCTGACTTTTCGCCCTTGTTCCACACACCTTTGGTGTGTTTGTGTATGGAGGCTCTCTGCATGTGTGTACATGTTTATGCCCCGTGCTGGTCTTTGAGGGAGCATGTGGAGGCTGGAAGTTAAAGTTGGATATCTTTCTGCTATTTTCTACCTTAGTTTTGAGGGGCTCTTGTTGAATATCAAGATTCCCCACTTTGGCTAGACTGGCTGGTTAGCTAATCCCTGGGATCCCCAGCTGGGATTACAAGCATTGCTGGGCTTTTTACCTGGGTCCTGAAGATTTGAACTCAGGTCCTCATGCTTGAGCAACAAGGACGCTACTCACTGAGCCACCTGTCCTGCCTGCAAGCCCTCACTTTTAAGTGAGTTCATTGATACACTTTCTCCCTCCACATATCCTTAGCAGTGAATGGAAGGGTTTTGTTTCTGAGTGGTCTCCCAACTCTCCTGCCAGGCACCTTGGACCAACCAGCTTCCTGCACAAGGTCATAGTTTCTCCCTGAGCTCTGCTGCTTCTGAGCCCAGACAGCTGCATCAGGCTCTCATCACCTTTCAGGAGACACAGGCACAGGATCCATTTCTCAGGGATTCGGGGAAGCTTAGAGCCTCTCTCACCAGGTACCAGACCAGTGGACCTAGCCACAGTGGGGATGCTGGGTTTGCAGCAAAATACTGTGTTGACTTAAATTCTTGGGGGGTGGGGGGAGGGCTGCATCTACATTAACCATTCTTCAAGGCTGATAGGAGACCATTAGGACTGTGACCATGGAGAGGTGGAACATTGCAGGTTGAGAGTTGAGCTGTCTTGGGCCATCTTAGTCCCTAAATAGCCACTTTCTGCCTAACGCCATGTGCAATTAACCCCCTTGTGACTTACGTCCTTTTGGAATGGACAAACAGACCCCTAGCTTCACCACTCAAAGGCTAAAAAAGTATCACCAGATAAATCTGAGGTCTAAAGTGGAGATTACTGTAATTTGCCTACTTGGTGTTCCCACCAACCTATTCAAAATTGTTCTTGATTTAAAATGTCCTTTGTCCTGCCACTATACAAACCGTGTGGAATTTGTTAACATGTTGGAGCATGGCAGTATTGGGGGTGACCTGAATCCGTGTTCCCCTGGACCATGATCACCCATAGTTGGCCCCAAGTAAAGCATCTCCCATTCCTGTTGAGGTGAGACCTGGCTTTTGTGTGTTTGTTGTATTATTTTTACTTCAACATCTGAGTATGGCTGGGAAGCTGAACAGGGCTCACTTCTACCCCTGGGCTAGTCCCTGCGGTGCCCTGAAACTTTGTGTGGTAGAAGTTAAACTTCTAGGCTCTGAAAAGCATCTGCATGGGGGGGGCGGAGGGTGAGGTCAGGATGGGGGAAAGACACATGATGTGGGGTCACAGGGCGAGGCAGCCGGGACCTGGCCCATTTGGAAACCATCTCACTGGAGCGTTAAATGGAAGAGACAGAGCTTTCTGGGAGTTACCGCAAAGCCCTGGTGGCTGAACTAAGTGCCTGGGCTTTGAGGCTGAGCTGGGAGTTGCTCAGTATCCATCTCCTCCCATGGCACTTGTCAGGTGATGGCTGTGTCTGTTAGAGCCGTCTCCCAACTTCACTTGCCCGCCCCCACCCCCCCAAACACCCTGGAGCAGGTCACCCAGATGACAGTGTATCTTCAGGCCCAGTGCCTCTGAGGTCAGAAATGGGTGAAGAAACCACCTGGTGCTTGGGGGGGGGGGGGGGGGGGTCCTGAAACTGCTTGGACCCAGCTTCCCTGCCGACATTTATTTTTAACGACCCCCATTAATTATTCAATTTCTGTTGGAGGAAGGTTTGGGAAGCCAATCAGAGGGAGTTCCATTCCATCTGGAAGCTCTCCGGGGGACCTTGATTTATGAGCACGGGGTGTGTAGGAACACCCCAGGCTGTCAGTTACTAATGGACTTGTGCTGCTTGTCACCCTCCCTGGTGACCTCTCCTCTCTGCTCAAGACTGGAGCAGGGTCTCTTTCTGGGAGGAAGGTGTCCTCCGGTCTCAGCAGAGCAGTGGGGAGTGGTTGCACGGGGCTGGCTTTTGCTCACCATCTTGCAGGGTGGTCACGGCCTCTGTTTCTGCACTGAAGTCACTGTCCCCAATGTCATTGGTGGCCTTCAGGCGTAGCTTGTAGGAGGTGAAAGGCCTCAGCCTGCAATGGAAAGATACCAGTGACTTCTTGTCTCTGTAATGAGTAGCAAATCATGGTGGGAAGAGGGTAGACAGATGTTTCTCCTGGCCTGGAACGTGAGAATTTGGGTCACCTGCCACCAGGAGAGACGGAACCCCCATTCCCTGGATATAGCTATACTATATAGATATACTAGGGCCTTTCAGGGCCCCCTAGACTGCCATGATGTCCAGGGAGAGATGGTTTCACCAGGGAGACATCAGTGAGAAAATCTTGTCCAGAGGACATTCGATTCCTCTTTAATAAGATGCTACACAGTAAAATTATGCTTGCCTAGCCCAAGGATGGAGGGGTAGAGCCCACAGTGGGGCTCTAGGGGAGAACTGATAAGGTCTGTCTTCCAGCTCTCACATATCACATAGCAAAGCTGCCAACCTCCTTGAATTCACCAATGTCTCTGCTCCACCCCAGCCAGGCATGACCATAGGAGCCTTCTCCCTTCTGGTACTGAGCCCATGCTACACCAAGGGCGAGCATGCCCGGTTCAGCTTGCACTGAGGACAAGTCCTCAGGCAGGATCATCAGGGGACCACTTCACAGGCAGGAAATGGGACAGCAGGGAAATGGTGGCTTCCAAGATGGGCTCTATTCTTTAGAAAACCCATAATCAGTTTCAGTTCCCAGGGAGTGGGAGGTGGGGTGGGGGGCAGAGAAAGAAAGAAAAAGAAAAGAAAAGCCAGGCTACATGGCTGCTTGGCTGATTAGAATTTCTAGAATGTTGCGTATAGGGAGCGAGCTATCTTTGGCTCCCATTAGCCCTCTAAACAGCCATTTATACCCACCTCTGTGTCTGCTCTAACATCCGTGGGACTTTTAGGCAAAGCCTTTCAGAAGGTACAAGGGGACCTCTGGCTAAGAATGTCCCCAGACAGCACCTGAAGCTGCACAGAGATCCCCCTGCTCTGCTGTAACCCGCCTACCTGTGGTTTCTACCAGTGTATTCTCAATCACCCTGACTTAGGACTTTCTTTGTTGTTACTGTAAAAACTCCATGAACCGGTTACCACACCAGAACATGGCATTTGGGGTAGCCTGGATCTGTATTTCTAGACTATGGTCACTTGTATTTGACTCCAGAATAAATTCTCCTACCTCTTGAGGAGAGAACTGTGTTTTTACATAGACTCCCCGACCAGCACTTGTGTGCTCCTTTTCCTCTGGATACAGTGGATGATAGCTTTTCTCTAAAGCCTGAAGGGATGCATGACTAAAAGCCCTGGGAACAGTCTGGCCTTGTCAATACTGAAAACACCACAGGCCTGGCCTCACCAGCAGCAACAGGAGAATCTGGTCTTGGTTGGTTTAACTCAGCTTAACTGAAAAGTCCCCTGAAGGCCACTGCCTAGAATGATCTTTGCTGTGGTTTCTGAGGACAGCTTTTGTTTAGCTCAAACAAACCCGTCCACCTGCTCCGGGCTTCCCAGAAGCTACTGTGTCTAGTCTCAGGGATAAATGCCTGCATGTCCCCTGTCATTTCCCAGCCTCACATGCCGAGCAGCCCACACTGGAGTTAACTACCCACTTCTTCCCAGTGTTGAAGGCAGAATGGGGTTCCTAAAAACATGGGCTCTGAGTATACCGTCTGGTTCCTGAGTCCCAGCCATGCTTGGACAGGCCACTTTGAGGACACTTCCTCATCTGGGCTGCTAATAGACAGACATCAAGAAGCTGTCCCAAGAATCACATCAGATGAGGCCCTTGGGAAAGTCTGTAGTAAGTGCTCACTTAAAGGGCTGGAATGGGGCTGGGGTGATGGCTCAGTGGGTAAGTGGTTGCTGTGTAAGCACGGAGAGGACCTGAGTTCAAATCCCTAATACCACATGGCTTATGGCTGTGTGTGTGTGTGTGTGTGTGTGTGTGTGTGTGTGTGTGTGTGTGAGAGACCCCAGTGCTGGGGGCAAGGAGAGGTTGGAGACAGGATGATTGCCAGGGATGGGGGGTGGGGAGGCTTACTCCTTGCTAGACTAGCTCCAGGTTGAGTAATACACCCCATCTCAATGGAATAAGATAGAGAGTGACAGCTGTCATCCTCATCTAACCTATGTGTGATTGTATCTATATACACATGTGCACACACACACCCCCACATACATGCACAGCTGTTATCATTATTATTTTATCTTAAAAAGCTAAAGAAAGTGTTTATCACATGATAACTGTCCCGGATGTCCTATTGTCCTGTTCCTTTCCTTTCTTGTTTTTTTCCTTTTCTTTTGAGTCTGTAGCTAAGACTGGCTATGAATTTACTATGCACCTGAAGAGGGCTGTGATTTCCTGATCCTCCTGTCTCCATCTCTCAAAAACTGGGATTGCAGGCACTTGCCACCTCATCTATGTGGTGCTGGGGATGAACCCAGAGCTCTGTGCATGCTAGGCAAGCACTCCGCCAACTGAGCCACATCCTTGGCCCTCCTGTGTCTTCTTTATCATGGCCACATTGTCGCTGTACACCCCTAAAGACAGGGACCAGGGTGGCCTGAGGGGATCCTGCCACTCTAGCCTGAAGAACTATGCTAGGCACCTGGAGATGTTCCTAACACTTTGCTAAAGAATACATTATGGTGACAATGATGTTCCAAATCCTCTTGGGAAGGCAGAAGAAGAGGACACATGTCACATGGTGCAATACTGGCCTGCCCGGCAAGATGTGCCCACTGTACAATAGTGGCTGACTGTTATGGGGGTAACTAACCACTCTCTGGCTAAATTGGAGGTCTGCTCCACAAGGGGGAGTTCCATGCCTGATAATACAATCCTGTTCAAAAGCCCATAGCTGAGGAGGTCCTAGGCCCTAGGAGAGAATAGACTATTGTCTTTTCCTAAATAGTCATACTCTCCAAGTGTCTCCTAAATATTTGTGTTTATACCCACAGACTTTGGCCAGAGAAGGTTCTTTTTATCTATCTATCTATCTATCTATCTATCTATCTATCTATCTATCTATCTAATGTATATGTGTGTGCATCTGCGTGAGTTTATGTATACCATGTGCATTCAGGTGCCATGGAAACCAGAAGAGGATGTCAGATCCCCGAGAACTAGAATTACAGGCAGTTGAGAACCACCTGATGTGGGTGCTGGGAACTGAACCTGGGTCTTCTGCAAGAGCAGTAAGTGTTCTTAACCACGGGGCCATCTCTTCAGTCCAAAGATTTATTTACTTTTAATATTATGTGTATGTGTATGGGTCTGAGTGTATATATGCCAGAATCTACTGGGACTTCATTCACCAAGGATGCCTGGAGTAGACAGGCAGGTTAAACACAGGGTGTCCAGGGAGCGAACCCTGGCTCTAAGCTAACTTCACTACCGTCCTATGTGCAAATGCCTCTGGCCCCGCCCACTCCTTCAGATCTTGCCTCTGACCATAGCTGCCCCCTCCCCCCAATCCTCTTGCCTCAGTCCCAGCCCATACCTCCATCCTGCCGGGGTCCATCCTGCATCCAGGCCAATCTCAAGGCCTCTCTGATAAAGGAAAGAAAGATCTGTCCATCAAATTCCCCCACACCCTTCTCTACTCTTCCAGGACAACCTAACCCTCCACTGTGGAGCTGGCCAAGCAGAATTCAAATTTAGCTCTGTCATTACCAGCCAGGGTGAGTTGTTTGGTTTTTACGATCTCATTTTGTTCACCTGTGAAAATGGAGATCAGAGCCCCTGAGATCATTTGTGAACATTGAATCACCATCAGGGATCTAACGATCTTGGCACACAGCAGACAATGAATAAATGCTCTTCTGGAAGGTTGTCTTTCCCTGACTCTCTGGGCGAGATGAAGTTCCTCCACACTGCGGGCAACTCCCACTGGCCCTCTGTACATTCCGTACACCTCACCTTCCAAACTCGGACAGTGCACAGGCTTACGGCACAATTTCGAGATAACACTGTTACCTCAGCTCTTACTCCGAAGTATCCAAGATTCCAACTTCACAGCGCAGGGCCCTTTCGAAGCTATTTACACCTGCTGCTCTGCTAACCAGGTGCCGGGTCCACACCACCCAGTCTGTGCCAGTCCTGCGGGTACCCACATGTATGTTTTATCTCCACTGCCAAAGTCTTTTGTTAAGAGTTGCGGGGGTGGACAAGACACAGCCTGCAGCTCAGGGTCCCTCCTTCAGGGCTAAATTCTGGGTCTTAGAAATACAAGCAGACCTGCATATTCATTGGTTCATTTTCATTAGGATGTAAGTTGCATGGATCCTGAACATTCTGGAAAGTCCATCGCTGCTTTTACCTAGTTATCTATAAGGTATTGAAACTACCTTTTAAGTATACTGCTAGGCCTAATGTTGTACATTTTGGATCTACTCAAGATGCTGAGGCAGGAGGATCAAATGTCAAGGCTTGTCCCTGGAATAATTATTGTCAAACCCAAACATACCTGGAAAGAGAGAGCCTAACGGAGGCACTGTCTCCATCGTACTGGCCTGTGAACATGGAATAGGGCATTTTCTTGTTGCTACTTGATGTAGGAGGGTCCAGTCCACTGTGGCCGGTACCTTCTCTGGGCAAGTGGGCCTGAAGAAAGGTAGCTAAGCAAGTCAGGGAAGCTAACCAGTAAGCACTGTTCCTCCATTGTTCCTGCCTCCTGGTTTCTTCCTTGAGGTCCAGCCCTGACTTCCCTTGATGATAGGCTGTAACCTGTAAGCTAAAGTGAACCTTTCCCTCCACAAGTCTGTTCTAGTCAGTATTTTATCCTTGCAACAGAAACCAAACTAGAACACTGGGCTACAGAGTAACTTAAGTTAAAGGGGAGCCTGGACCATCTGTGGGATTCTGTCTCAAAAAGTAAAAAGGAGGCAGGGTGTAGCTGAGTGGCACAGTGCTTGCCTAGAATCCCCCAGTGAGGGGCTGGGGCCATGGCTCAGTGGTAGAACACCTGCCTAGAATCCCCCAGTGAGGGGCTGGGGTGTGGCTCAGTGGTAGAGCACCTGCCTAGAATCCCCCAGTGAGAGGCTGGGGTGTGGCTCAGTGGTAGAGCACCTGCCTAGAATCCCCCAGAGAGGGGCTGGGTGTGGCTCAGTGGTAGAGCACCTGTCTGAAATCCCCCAGAGAGGGGCTAATTAATAGATAGCAAAGCATGCACAAGGTGCTGGGTTGCATCTCAAATAGGACACACACACACACACACACACACACACACACACACACACACACACACACACATTTGTTATTTGCATCATGAAGAACAAAGACCTTGGAACCCATGTGTAATACCCCAGCCAATGCACCTGGACTTGCACGTCAGCACTGTTACAGTTCTACAGAGGAAGAAATGAAGATTCACAGGGACCAGGGGCCAGCAAACTTGTTTGTCAACTGCTTTTTATGTGGTCATTCCTTCCCTCTGGACACAATGCTTTCTGACTGGCTGCCCTGTGCCCGTGGTAGTGGGTGCTCCACGGAAGAGGGGAGCCCTAATTCCAGTACATAGCCCTTCTGCAGTCCCTGGCCTCTGTCCCTTTCTAAAGCCTCTGTGTCACCTCCTTTCTTTTAGGTATTCCATTTCTCTGGGAGGCTACTCTGTTAGGGTAGTGACTGGTCCTATTAGGCAGGCGCTAACTCCTGGAGAGTCTGACCAACAGAGCCCCCCAAAAATAGGACATAAAAATAGGTTGGCCTGCTCAGGACTCTGAAACAGGATGTAAAGACAGCAGTGGTGGTTGACTCCAGACGGGCCAGCTCAGGGCTCCCAAACAGCAAGCAAAGAAAATAGTCGGGTCAAAGCAGCTCCTGGGAGACTCACTTCCCTGGCCAGCATGTGTACAGTACTGCTGCCCTTTCTCCTAGGGAGCCTTGCAACTTCAAGGGCATTTAAACCCCTGTGCATATATATTTCTGGATTTTATACGCTTACTTATAATAGACTGAATTCTGGCTAAAGCATGCTTCCATGACAAGCCTGACTCTTTCCTGGAATTCCCCAGCCCGGGGAAGTCACAGAGAAGGGGAGAACAGAAAGAGAGATATGGAGCCCATGCTAGGACAAGAGGGCTGGCGCTGCTCTGCTTGGTCCTAAGAATAAATTCCTGCTTCCTTTCTTGTTCTAATTAAACCCCACTGAGCCACTACCCCATCCTGTCTGAATCCCCTTTTCAAGGCCACCCCTGAGGCTGAGTCCGGGGAAACTGGAGCCCCTCTGTTAGAACCCAGGCCCACACCTCAAATGCAGTGATCACTCTGAAAAGGCTAGATCCTACACCCCAGGCAGTTAAACTCAGCGCTCTGAGGCTTTCTATGGTCTGGAGCATTAAATCCTTTCTGTGCCGTGCCCCCAGTCTAGGACCCTAACCAATGCCTGGATCCGCCATGCTTTGTCACAGGTTTTGTTGAACCCGATCATATGATATGAAACTTCCTGCCAGCCCCCATGAAGGCTGCTCTCTAAAGAGTCTGTTTGCACCCTCCCCCTGCTATCCCTTACCAGGCTGTATTCTTTCCCGCTCTTTCTCTACACACACACACACACACACACACACACACACACACACACACACACACACATATACACACACATCT